CCCTTTTAAAATGTAATTTTAGTGTTTTTTTTTAAAAAAGCAGGTCAATTTGAAGAAAAATATTAAGTAATTATGAGCACAGGTGATATGGAATATGGTAAAAATCATCAAGATGTGCACCAATGACTAACATTTAGGAAACACTGTTTTAGGCTCTCTGACATTTCTCCCACCAACAATATCCTCTCAATCTTCTCCCGATCAGTCTCACTCATTGCTTCTTTCCTTCCCGATCTGTCTCCAGAAGCATGACTTGGACGGTTCCTCCGCTTCATCTTACATCCCAACACGGGGTTTGGTGATTCATTTCAAGTCTTTATAAAAACTTGAAGACAGACTGAAAGAACTCCTCAAGGGCAGGCTCCCAATCCTTAATATCTCACCCAGTCCCGCATATGGTACCTATTTCAGAGTTCCAAACACAGCAAAAACTGGGCAAACACCAATTACTCTACTGACGGCTCCTTTCACTGGCCCAGTCATTTGAAGATTTCAACTTGTACAATCTGGGGTCACATCAACCCAACTACTCTTGCCCCTCCAAAAGCCAATACCAAAGGCACATGTTGCAGGGCAGTTGGGAGGAACACGGTAAGTGACAGGACCCTAAGGAAAAATACTTCAGGGACTTGGCAGAACCCAATCTCACATGAACTACAGGAAATAAAGTAGCGCCAACGCCAATGAAGCAAAAGATTTCCTAAGCTTCATCAACTGAAGGGAGGGATGGCAGTCCTGTCTTACCCCAGACACGGACAACTTGAGCCTTGTGAGAAAAAGATAAACTGAAGCAAATGAAGAGAATGACTAGCATGCTCATCAAAAAATCATGGTAAAAGAGAAACAGCCAAAGAAACAGAGGCTATTTAGTCTGGGGAAGAAACAACTGCAGGTGACTGTGTAAAGGCCATGCCTCTAAGCAAGACGAGCATTACGGTTATTCTCTAAGGCACTGGGAGTGTAAGAACAAAGTGAACTAGGAAGTAGGAGACAAATTTCACTTCACTGTAAAAACTTCTTAAGAGAATTGTCCAGTGGTGGAGTGGATTGCTTCGTAAGACAGAAATATTCAAGTACAGATGGGATAATCTGGCCAAGAGATTCATTCTCTTCAACAAGCAGCTCTCTGCTAGGCTGCTGGATATACCCAGCCATCCACACATGTGCTGGGGGCCAGGGCCGGGGGGGAGCCCGATAATCCCTAAGGCTTTTCTTTTCAGCCTGAAACTATGAATGCATTTGAATTCTTAAGCTAACTGCACAATTACACATCCATATTAATAACATGCCATTTCTTCTTTCCACACTGGCGAACCCAAACAGGGAGCTCTCCACCTTTCTATCTGGCCCTTTACAAAGAAAATTTCCTTCTCAGTAGAACAGCAGGGCCCTGGGTTTCATGATCTGTAGCAACACTTGACCCACAACCCTAGGCTGTGTCTTTTAGAAAGATGTTCCCTCCTGGGCTCCGATCAGAAATTAACATTTTCCTCTTTTCTGTAGCAGCAGTGCCCAGCGCTGGCGACCCTTTCTGTGACCCAGAACATGCCCAAGAACCAGAAGAAAGCGATTCATCAGTACTGGGCCTCGAATCGCAGTTCTGGAGGCGACGCGGAGTCCTTACCTTCTACAGAGGGGGAGAAGATGATGAGATTGTCATAGAGGAATTCCCCATACTTAATGAGGGACAGGCTGGGGTCATCGGCGGTCTTGAAGGTGAGTTCAAAGCCCCGGTCTGGATGAGAAGAAAACAGGGAGCTGAGGCACACTGGACGCAAAGAGAAGCCCTTGCTGCAGACGTCGCGACCCCCACTCCAAGCGGCAGGCCAGACCTGGACGGCCTGCTCCAGAGAGTGGGCGGGAGGGAGGGTGGTGGATGCCCTCGGGCGCCTTTCCAACCCCAAACCCTCGCCCGCCGCCCCCTCGGACCCGGCTCTCACCCTTCAAGCTCCGGAAGAAAAGCGAATGCGTCTCCCGCAGGTTAAGGTTGTCCAGCAGCACTAAGGTGCGGGGGCCGCTGGCGTAGACCGAGAGCAGCAAGGGCAGCAGCGGCCATGTGAGGGACCAAACACGGGCAACAGCAGTGAGCTCCATCTTCCTCATTCTGCCAAAGAACCAGCACCTGGACACCGGAAGTGTCCCGTCTATGGTCCCCCAATCACGGCTCGTGGCCGTGTAGTACTACCCGGAAGTGATCGGGGTACACAGGGGCCGGGAGATCAGAGGCCCAGCTGTGGCGGTCAGCAGTGGAGCTCACCGCCGGAAGCGCCCCGGTTGGAGGCGGGTTCTTTGAACTCTATTGGTGAAAGGGGCGCAAGGCCCCGCCTCACCAAAGAAAAGGCTCAATCTTAAAGAGACAGCTCTGAAGCCGCGGCCAATCAACACGGCCCAGCGCCCCTTGGCTCCGCCCAGTCCGGGTTCCCGCCCCGCGTCCAGAGCCCGGGTCCCGCCGGTGCTTGCGGCAGGTTCCGGGCCCCGTGGGTCTTCCTGTTCGCTGGCGTGGTCTTCGCTGGGCCAGGACAGACTGGGTACTGGGAACAGGCCACACCTCCACCATCTCTAGGGAGGAAGGGATTGGAAAAATAAGGTCAGGGACGGCGGCACTTCGGGCCTCCTGCCTGCCGCTCGCCTTGGCCGGGACCTGTCCCACACAGCTGGGTGGCCCACGCTGCATACAATGTGGACGGGCGGTGGACAGGCCTAGTGATTTAAAGGCTCCGGCTTTGGAATCAGCTGGGTTTAGTTCCAACCTTATCTCTCTCGCTATGTTGCCGAGGCCGGTCTCAAACTCCTGGCCTCCCAAAGCGTTGAGATTACAGGCGTGAGCCACCGCTCCTGGCCAAACCCAGCTCGTGGGGCAGGTTTTGAAACACTTAGCCCCGGGCTAGGCTGAGCATCCACTCAATAATGCTGGCTCCCACCCCTTCTAGGTTAACATAGGGGCCACCCAGGTCACCTCAGACCTGCCTCTGTCCCACCATGAGTCTAAGTAAAAACTACCACAAGCAGTTCCAAGACTTCTGTTCTCTGGGTCCCAACCACAATCCTGGGGCCAAGGTAATTTTGGAAAAAGAAGGTAACAAGTTCTTTTCTGACACTTGTCCACCAACCCAAGAATGGGGCAAAAATCACAACCTCCCTCTATACATCTGCTTAACTGACTCTACCTCCCCTGCATTCTCACCTGCTCCGCCTCTCGCCCCTAACTTCTCTGGAGCCCAGCCTTCTCACCATCTACACACAATGCCACGTCAATCCGCCTCTAATTCAGGCCTCTAATTCAGACCCAGTGGTGCCAACCGTTGTTCAGGAGTCTGCTACTGCTCAGGGACACCCGAAGGTTCTTCACTCTCGGGTCTCCAGCTAAACTCATCTCTGCAACCTCATCGCCTTCTCAGTTTCTGCTCAAGGCTTCCATGGAACAGCCTTTAACATACCCTGAGCTTCCCCGCCTCCTGCCTCTACCAGGAGCTCCCTCTGGGCACTGGCACTCGCATCCTAGACCTCCCAGATCAGGATCTTCTTCATCCTTTGTGGGAGTCCCACCCAGCGCTGCTCCCTTCAGAAAGGCACTCTCTGTTCCCCATAAAAACCTGATCTCGCCTCCTGTGACTCAGTTTATGCTGCATCTGCTTAGACCCATCTCCAGTTATCTAAGCGCCACCCACCCTGGCTTCTCCAGAGTGTGAGCTCCTTGGCCCAGGCACGTGGCTTGTGGGGCCTGCCACAAAACTGATGCAAAATAAGGAAGAGGGGAAAGGAGGAGGACTAACATGGAGCACTTACTATGCCCCAGGAGCTTCACATACCCTCTCATTTCATCTTCACAATAATCCTATGAGGTGGGTGTTATCCCCATTTCACAGATGAGGCTCAGTGCCCTCAGAGGGTGGAGGACCCCACAGGGTGCACCTGGGATTCAGTGCGCAAGGGGAGGGCTGTGTCCTAGGTAGCCCCCTAGCTGGGTGCAAACAGGGTGGCCCGGATTCATTTCTGGCTAAGTCACGATCCCAGTTCCAGCAGAGCCCCCTGAAGACTGTCAAAACCTGGGCCCTTTTCTGGCCTCAGCAGACACAGCCATAGATTCCACAAGGACTCTGCTTTCCTAGGTCACAGCTCCTTTGAGAATCAAATGAAAGTGCAGATGCTCTCCCCAGAAAATATGTACTTGCGCTCACAATTTCAGGGAGTTGCAGAACTCCTGGATCCTGTTTGTTCTAAAGGTCCCAGCTAGTTAAGAACCCTGTTCCAGAAAGAGCTTTCCCATGATAGCCGGGCAGGGTCAGGGAAGGACAGCTCATCCTAAAAGGCAGTTTATTGGGCAGCTTAATCAAAGTGGCCTCTCTGGGCCGCGGATCAGCCAGGAGTGGGCAGCATGGCAACAGCTGCTCTGGGACTCCTGTGCCACCCCGCAGGGCAGCGCTGTGCTCAGGAAGTGTGGCCAGTCGGATGGAGGCACAACTCTCAGCTGCCAAGATGCTGAGCTTTACCCACGTGGCAGTGGCTGCCCTCTCTTCCAGGGCTGCTGAAGGCCGTGAAGCAGGTCTGAGGCTTCTGAGGCAAAGACCGACACTGGTGGGCACGCGTGGCGGGCTCGGTGCCAGGCGAGTCGATGGAAACACTGATGCGGCGTGGGCAGCTGGAGCAGAGGACAGTCCGGCTTTCCCAGGGGCTCATGCCCCAGGCACGGGGGTGGTCTCTGGGGAACAGGGAAGGGAATGTGTCTTCCCAGGGCTGAGGGACCCTTTGGGCCCCCGGGTCACTGTGGGGGCAGGTGGGAGGAGGCCCGGTGGGGGCTGCCTTGAGAGGGCCTGGCAGTCTCTAGAGGCCTAAAGGCAGGTAGCGGCAGGCAGCTGTGTTCACAGAGGCTCACTGCCAAAGTTGCTTTTGCTTTTCTTCCGCTTGGCCTTGGTGAAGGGGATGTCGAGAGACTCGAGGCGGAAGGGCCGGGGCTGAGGCATTTCGGGGGCCTGGGTGGATGGGATGGCAGGGTTGCTGCTGAGGGGGGAGCTGAAGCCTGGCGGCGAGTTGTGCTGCGCTGTAGGGAAGAGGGCCGGGGGCGCTGGTGAGCCGGGAGAGCAGGGGTGGAGAGAAAACAGCCCAAGTGTGCGGGGTGGGGAGTCTGGCCCACCTCCAACCCAGCCAGAGTGACCCCAGGCTCACCCCCAGCACGACATCTGCACCCAAAGGGTCTGGGCTGGGGTTTGGGGTTTTAAAGCCTCAGACTGAGGCAGCGTGGGATCGTAAGCCAGACAAGCCTGGGTTCAAGGCCCAGCTCCGCCACTTCCTGGCAGTATAGCCTTGGGCAAGCCACCTCCCCTCTCTGAGCCTCAGTTTCCTCATCTGCAGCATGGGCACAATGCCTGGCACTCAGTGGGTGCTAGTTTCTTTCCTGTCCTATTCCCCCCCTTATTCCTCAACTGTACCCACTCTGTCTCTCAAATAACCTTACTGCAGAACTGAGATTTGCTTTTTATTGATATTTTATTGGAAGCTCTGTAGGCTTTGCTTTTAGTTGTGAAAGCAGAGGAATGCGGTGATTTTCCATTCTTGAAACCATGCTTTGCTTGTGTGGCCCTTTTTGCTCCCCTTGGCTCAGTGGTCCTTGACAGTCAACTGTCAGTACTGGTGTCTGAGGAAGCTGGCAAGTACCCAGACCCTGAAAGCCCATGCCACGGCCCTGAGCCACGTGCCGAGGGCCTACTGGGTGTCAGAGGAGACAGCGCCTCCCTCCAAGGACACACAGGGATAGAGGAAAGAGGACACCGTATTGAGCACCTACTGTATGCCAGGTCCTGGGCTGGGCCATTTCCCCACCTCATTGTATCTACCCCTGATTAGTAGCTGTTGTCCCCTTCATTTTATAGCTGAGGAAACTGAGGCTCAGAGAGGGAAAGGAGTTTTTGAAGCCGGGTCCATCTGACTCCAGAACCACCCGACGCACTTCTCCCACATGGCGGAGGGGCTGAAGGGGAGCCCAGCGGGCAGGGCACTCACTGAGGCTCTTCATGGGGTCCGTGCTGAGGATCTGGCTGGCTCGCTTGCACCGGAAGTAGTTACTGGCAATATTTTCACTGTCGCTACGACTTAGCATCAGCTTGTAGCGGTCTTCTTCCTGCTGAAATTCCAAATCCTCATGGGTCAAGGCCCTGTGTTTGTGCAGTCCTCATCTGGGCCCGTGGCCTAGGGCTCAGCAGCCTCTGGAGGCTGGGTTGAGTTGGGGCTGCCCAGGCTGGTCTCAAACTCCTGGCTTCAAGTGATCCTACCACCTTGGCCTCCCAGAGTGCCAGGATTATAGGTGTGAGCCACCATGCCTGACCTGGAAGTGCCTTTGAATGAGGGCCTAAATGGGTTGAGGGTGCTGATGAAGTGACACAGAAAAGGGTCCGGGCTCAGTCACCTGGTTTTTTGATCCTTAGACAGGAGGAACGTAGAAGACCAGCTCCTACAGTCACACTGACCCACAGCACTCTGGGGTCAAAGCCCTGCCAGCTCCCCAGGCCTCCCCTCGCTCCCTCTCCCAGGGCCCTTACCATGTTTGGCTCGCCATTGTCTGCCGCAGAGGTTTTGCGGGCTGGTTTGTTCTGTGGCCCAGTTGAAACTGCTATGAGAAAACAAAAGCTGGAGTCACTGCTGCCTGGTGCCAGGCCCAGAGGGTGCAAGTGGGCCGCAGCACTCTCCGTGGAGGAGGGGTCAGGCCCAGCTCAGGCTTAGAAACAGGGGAGGACACTTCCCAGCCCAAGCCAAGGCCTGCCTGTAGGAAACAGACAGCAGGAGGCTCAGACACCAGAGAAGCCACTGCCCTGGCTCCAGGCAAGATAGCAGGTGGGTGGGGGCAGGCGGAAAGGCTGCTGCCCACAGCATGTGAGAGATGGTGCTGGCTGGGGTCTCAGCCAGGATGGCGTCAATGCCATCTGTAAACGGCAGAGGCATAGGACGAAGGGGGAGGACTGTTGGGGGAACTGTGGGCTCCCCGAATGGGCAGAGCCAGGTCTATGGCTGGAGAAACATCTACAGTAAGTGCGACTTTACTCTGAGATTTATCAGAGGAGAGGGGCCTTCAAAGTCGTCTTATCCGACCCCTCCTTTGTAAAGAAGCCCAGAGATGGACAGTGTTCTTCATAAAGTCACACAGGATGTCAGTGGCAAAAGAAGAACTTGAACCAGGCCTGAAACTCTGAACAGCTGGTTTCTACCTGTAGTCCTGCCACTCACTGCTGTGACTGACTTTACGTCACTTATACCCTCCAACATTTAGTTTCCTCATATGTAAAATAGTCTTTATCCCTCAGAGGGCTGTTGTCAGGATGAAGTAATGACAGTGCTGATGACAGTGGTAACACATACCAAGCACTATGTGCCAGGCATTGCTGGAAGGGTTTTTCGTGTACTGATGCACTTTAAGCCTCACAGCAACTTTAAGGTGCTGTTATTCATCCCCATTTAATAGATGAGGACACCAAGTCCCAAAGAGGTCACACAGGGAATGGTGCAGCCAGAATTCCAGCCCACATCTCTCTAACTCCAGAATACACCACCTTCTCAGAGCCCTGATGCGACCTGGAGCCACGTCTGCTGCACCCACAGCCTGCGGGGGAGGCCCATGTTCCCGACAGTCTGCAGGACAGGGAACTGCAAGGCAGGGCGGGAGGGCGAGGGCCAGCTGGGCTCCTGACCTACTGGGAGGCTGGTTTTGATGATGATGGGCTCCGGGATCTTCCAGAAGCCATTATCCTCATCCCAGCAGGATTCGCGCCGAATCCTCTCGAGGTTGCTGTAGTTACAGTCCCTACGAATCAGGGGCTGCACCTGCTCCAGGAGCTGCTGGAAGAGCATGGAGTCACGTTCCTGCCGGCGGATGGTGGCCAAGTAATCGATCTTCTCCAGCTCAAACTCCGACTGCAGATCCTTGATCTCCACCTCTGCTGCCCGAAGCTGAAAGCAAAGGATGACAGGCGGTGGGCGGGGAAAGATACCTCCCCATCCCCTGGCCACCCCTTCACTGTCCTGCCAGCAGGACTCAGCACCTGTTTGCCGGTCTGCTCATGCACTCGTTCTTATCTCCTCCCTCCCTCCAGCCATCCCCCCTCCTCTGACACCCACCGATCCCCCACCAATGCACTCACTCACCTCCCACCTCCCCACCCAGCATTTAAATGAGGACCTGATGTGTCCCCAGATCTGCCAAACGTAGAGGGAAAGTTCATCGTCAACCCAACAGCCAGCCCTCAGTCACTATCCCCCATACATGCACTGTATTCGGGGGCCCTTCAGAAGTACCCACACATGACACCTTAGCCCCCACTGTCCTAAAAGATCTCAGAGAACTGCACAAGTGGCCCTTCTGAAGGGAGCAACAGGCATAAACTCTCAGACTCAACCGTCCTCGCTCTCGAACTGCCACGTTGCTCTGTGACAGTGTGACAGACACTGGACTTAAGAGTCGGACCCACCTGGATTTGACCACAGATTCCAGATTCTTTCAGTTTCCCACCCAGGTCTGCCAGACCGACCCTCGGTTCTCTCCTGAGCACAGCTGACTGCCAACTCCAACCATGCCACGCCTCCCTGGGCCCCTGGTGCATAGTCCACTTCCTCAAGGGGCAGGTTCCGTTTGATTAGTAAAGAAGGATGTTTCAGATTCATGGGAATGATAATAACCCAGTTGGGAACACC